CCCCCTCCCGCTCCCCACCCCCCCCCCCCCCCCCTGTAGTGTCAATATACGCTCACCAGTTAATGGGAGCCTTTTATCAAGGAAAGAGCACCCTTGAATGCAGCAAATGCAGCAATGCACATATAAGGTCTGTCCTCCAAGGCTGCTGTCAGTGCCCAGACTAATGAAACTGAATATGTTATAATATTGGCCGTGTTCAATCATTTACGGCAGCATCCGAGCACAAGGGAGGCCATGCAATTCCCTGTAGCAAAACATTCTGATTGGCTGATTATTCCAATGATCAAAATAAACCAGAGTGCTAAAATGTAATGGGTACATTTGTCTTTAAATTAGACCTTATCAGGTCTCCGCAAATAAATTCATGACATGTCACAATATTAACACCTTTATCATTAAAATGCTGTCACTGAGCTCCAATCCAGTGCCTTTGCCTTGGGTGAGATTATGCCATCAGTCTGCTGCAGGCAGGAGGAAGCATTGCCTCAGTCTCCCCTCCTCCAGTGATCAGTCTGCAACATTGTAGCAATGTGAGAGGCTGCAGCAGGGAGTTAATCTGTGTCAGACATTTGTGACCACAGCCAAGAACTGCACAGACCCCAGGATTTACATGACTGTGTCATCACTGAGTCAGGAAGTAGGTGGATGATGCCTAAACAAATATGGTGCTGTCCTTCTGGACAGAAAAGTAGATGAAGGCATTGTCAGAGGGAGTACAGTGATCTCTAATAAATACCTGGAAGTGTTACTCTGACATATTACTTACATGCCGCACTTACCGTACCAAATATATCTGGTGTCAGGACAGGGGTGTCACCAGGCCAGGTGTCACCCGGTGCCGGCCGCCGGGTGTCACCCAGTGTCCATTACATGACACATGATATCATTACACACACACGCATAATGATGTCAAGTGCACTTCACTGCCAGCGGCCATCTTGGTGATGGATGCCGGCAAAGAGAGGAGGGGAAGTTCATCGAGCAGGATAAGCTATGCTGCCGGGATCCCCTCCTCTCTCGTGCAGCTGTCTGGCCCTCGGTCCATGACCAAGTGCCCCACTTTTCAGAGGGGGTGACACCAAAATGACTGCTAAGCATCAATGACAGTGCTTCAAAGGCACTTACATTGCCCCCTTTGGATTTTAGAAATATACAAGTGCCTGGGCTTGCCACCTGTCCAGGATTCACCCGGACAGTCCAGGTTTTGAATGTTGTGTCCGGGTTTCATAGCAGCAGAAACCCAGACACATGATGTCAGGCAGACAGGGGCAACCAAAATTGAGATGGGGCTACTGGCCCCCCACTAAATGTAGTCTCAACTGTGATATTTTCATATGAATGGGTGGCATTATTTACATATGAATAAGCTACGACTCATTCTCCCCACAAAATGTGAATGCGTCGCTAGAGTGTTCAGATTTTGCTTGAAGAAAAGGTCACAACCCTACAAGTGCCTAATGTGTGTTATTTTATTTTATTATCTCCATGATCTTTGCATGAAAATCAACATATAAATATTATAATTGTGACTCCAAATGTGATTTTACTGAATATCCATTATATTCTGCTAACTCTTTTCATGTGGGGCAGAGATAAAATTACAAAGTCCTGACCCCAAATCTACAAAGTATGCACCTGTTTTGTTTTACTTGGCATTCCCCACCTAGTCTTCACCTGTCTCCCTACCCCCGCCCCATTCCTTTTCATTGCTCTTCAAAGGATTGTCGTCGTACCCCCCCCCACAACCCCTTCCCCATATAAACAGCACTGTACATGTCTGCAGATTGGAGAGGAGGGACAATCACAGTGTGAAGTCAGGTCAGCGGGACCACTTTCCTCCCCCGCATTGCTCGCAGTTCCTGGGGTCTCTGACTCCAATACCAAGGCTAAGCCCAGCATGGGGAGGGGGGTGACACAAGGGACACATGAAAAGGAACAGGATGGGGAATCAGATGATGGACTGACTCAAGAGTAAATGAGGCAAGAATAGAGTCAGGGGATGAAAGGGGCAGTACAATAAAAAAAAGGATCATTGGGAAAAAGAAGAGTGAATAGGAAGTCATGCCGGACAACAAGCATCCTCTGCAATAAGTATAATAGTAATCCTTTCCTGAAACTCACCTGAGCAGGTTATTCTTACCTCACACCTCTCCTCTGAGCTACATCACAGTGAGTGTGTCCAGGAGAAGATCTTTTCTACAGCACTTCACATACACTAACAGAGTGAAAACTGTTATACCTTCTGTATAAGGGTTGCCACCTGTGCAGGATTCACCGTCCGGGTTTTGAATGCTGTGTCCGGGTTTAATGGCAGCAGAAACCCGGACGCAAGATTTCAGGCAGACAGAGGCAACCAAAATGAAGATAGGGGCTACTGGCCCCCTACTGAAAATAGTCTCAACTGTGATATTTACATATGAATGGGCGGCGCTATTTACATATGAATAAGACACAGCTCATGCTCTCAAAAAAAGTCAGCGCGTAGCTAGAGTGTTCGGGTTTCGCTTGAAGGAAAGGTGGCAACCCTATTCTGTATCCTCCCTTATACCCTAATAGAGTGTAAGCTCTTCTGCCATTTGTATCCTCCCTTATACCCTAATATATTGTAAGCTTTTCCACCCTCTGTATCCTCCCTTATACCCTAATAGATTGTAAGCTCGTCTTCTGCCTTCTGTATCCTCC